AGAAAAAAACTTTGATTTTCTGTTTATTATATACTTTTCCTCTATTTTCGCCTTACGGTAAGAAAGACTTATCTTACTTGCTGAATTAAGTAAAAAAATAGTCCTGCACATCACCAGTGAAAATACAGAAAATATGTTTCACTGTAGTGAAAAAATACTTTTTTTACAGTGAAAATACGAAAAAAAAGAAAAATATGAAAATATGCATTTTTAATTTGTCAAAATAATTTCTTCATATTTTATTCATAAGTTTTTAGTCATAGCGTATATTCAAGTTATATATTTTCATCAAGTGGTATGAAAATCAATATTACATGAGTGGCGGTAACCACGAGTGAAATGTGATTTTTTTTCATACCACAAAATGAATATAATCCTGTATTAATACAAGAACTTTAAGTTTCTGTTTATTAAATGCATTTTCTAATGTTGTTTCTTTTAAATTGCAATTTGAAAGATTCCCGTTAAAGTTTGAGTATTTGCTGAATTTAGAATAAAGTAGTCCAGCAACACACCAGTGAAAATACGGAAAATATGTTTCACTGCTGTAAAAAATAACTGAAAATACGCATTTGATTTTATCAATTATCAATATTCTACAATATTTTATTTATAAGTTTATCATAAATAGTAATTTTGTAATAAATATAGATTATTAAAAGTAGGAACATGTATACCTTGTGTCAAGGTGCTGCATATATAGCGATGTCGATCCTTATATTTCGAAATCGCTAGTTATTTTTTTTTTAAATTCTTTTTTGCAGAATCTCTTTACTCAAAGGTATAATTCACAGATATAATCATTTTCGAACTTCTCACATCTGACAAAACAATAACAACAATAAACAATGTGATTTGTTTATTTCATGCTTTCCAGTGTTTTATTGTAATATATCAGATGATTATATTCTGATAAATCACTAGTGAAATTTATAAAATATAATTTTCACTATAGCCGGACTATATCTGAATGCGGATGAAAAGAAAATCATAACTAAATGGAATAACAGGCAGAAATAAATGCCGTCATACGTAAATTTTGCTTATTTAGGAAAAGAAAGTCGATGTCACCATACATCATGTTAAAAATGTAACAAAATTAGAGAAATTTAACAGAACTATATTTTCAAAATTGATGATGTGACGTCATGTTGTGATGACGTCACAAAGGAGAATGCGCGACGTTATGCGGCAAAATCAGTAAAAAATACTTAAAATCACTTAAAAAGCATGAAACTAGCGACCCCTGTATTACAAATCTCCTCGCAGCGGTAACTTCCCTTTATAAATGCACTTCACCGAGATCGCTGCGCATTTCATATTAAGTTTAGCGGGCGGATAGAACATGTAGAAGTATATAGTAATTGAAAAGAGATCGTAAACCCAATAATATTTAATTGGTCAATTGGCAAAAACAAATACATGTTCATCGCTAAGTTACCGTGGCTGATATAATATATTTTACATTATAAAAGAAAATTATGGTACACAGTTTACGAATCTACTACAATAACAATTAATAAGCTTTCAGTCTTTTTGTCCGTCATCTTTGCAAGGTAAAGACCACACCACTCTCTGGACTTTACTCATATTGAATATTGCGTAATTCAATTTTTTTAATTAGATTTTTTGTACACATGAAATTATTCGAGGCCGTGTGGTTATGATACAACCTAGAAAATGTTTATTTCTTCAGAACACCATAAGTGCCTAAAAATTTCCGTAGTATGTAAGTCGTCTATGTTTTTTAATGAGGACTAACCTAAAAACGTAAACAATACAAATGGAAAACACTAAAAACAAGCATTGTAGTTTGTACACTATTATAAAAATAAATTAAAAAAATTTTTTTACATCGTAAACAGATCTTTGTAGTGTTAACCTTTTTTTGGTAATTTTTCTGGTCATCTTTGACCACTGATGCTTTTTTTGTTTTGTTTTTTTATTTCTTTTGTACTGATCATTTGTGTGAAAAAATATAATATGATATAATTATAATGTTGAGTCAACCATTAGCATATAACTTTTTATTACACCGGAAATTAATGATTAAACTATAAAAAAAATCTCCCTGACGTTTCTAAATGGTACACCGTAAAATGAAATAAAAATACATTTATTACTAGGTCGTTTATGTAAAATTGTTATAAATATTGAAAGAACTTTTAACAATATGCTGACTTTATATGAAATTATATGATGTTATCTAAAGGTTTTGATGAAATAGTTTTCTTTCTAAAGTCACGAAAAGAGTGAATAATCTATGTAGATACAAAACATAGTTTAAACTCTAAAACTTTGAAAAAAAAATCTCAGATTTTTCGTGTTTGTGACCAGTATAGAGCCAGGCCAGCATGCACATACCAGGTTTATACCAGGCTCTATATTGTGGGTTACTCTTTTCTTTTTTAATTTTTGATAATGAATCGCTAAATTTCAATAAGTCTGTTCCGAATTCAAAGCAGCGCTTTTAAACTTTGAAACTGCTGAAATTGCTTGGCACAAAATGATCACCATAATGAGACGCAACATCCAGGTTACACACATGAAGGTCAAGGTCAACCATAATGGTCAAATATAATTTATAGAAACTCTCTTCATTTTTTGTCCGCCCCATAATGTTTTAGCTACTAGACAATCTTTAAAATACATCGGTGCAAATAATCACCATTATATTTCGATTTACAGGTAACTATCTCAAGGTCAAATTCGCACTTAAAGGTCAAATAGAAAAAAATCCAGCCGTTGTTTCCGATCCATTCATATTTACTTACTGGAAGTTTATGAAATAACTTGGCATAAATGCTTATAATATTAAGATGATGCACAAAGCTCAAAACCTGATTGCTTCTTCCAAAGGTCACGGTCATATTTAAAGATCGGTCAAAGGTTAAAAAAAGTACTGCGGCATTGGTTATAGCCGTCCTATAGACACCCTTGATATTGTATATCGTGCCGATTTAAATTAAGTAATGTTTAATATATCAACAAATATTAAAAGCCGCATATATTATTATAATTACAATGTTTTTGGAAACAGTAAATAAAAAAGTATAATTGTTGCCATAATTTATGATTTGTAATTATATATACATGTATTTTAATTTTATTCTTGGTAATGTTTGGAAAACCAGAATGATCTAAAATGTAATTTGTTATCCTGACTCAACAAGCAGTATTAATATTGCAACATAGATCACTAGTAGGCAAGTCATTATTTTTTGTTATTTTTAACCAATATTTTACAGCTCTTTCATTACAGGCACTCAACCAAGTTTAATATAGACATACAAAAAACCGGATGTGTTATTTCATCTACCTATACCCCAAACTTCAAAACCGTATTGTTGATACATAGATAAATTTATTCATTAAAATGTGTAAAGAATGCACAGTGTCACAAAATAAATACATTTAAATAAAATTTAATATAGATGCAACAATAAAATCAAAAATACATAACTTGGTTCTAGTTTAAAGGCTAAAATTATCGAATTCTGGTACATTCGAAAAGTTATTGAGTGATCTGCGAGTTATTAATTGCTTAAATCAAATCTTCCTTAACAATCTGTTGTGCGATTTTGATCATTGTTTTAGCTAACATATTCTGTGCGAGTTGTTACTTGCCTCTAAAACTCTTCACGGTTACGAGTCATTTACATTCTTCAACAACAGAACTTAAAGTCTCTTTAGCTAATTTCTTTGAAGGGCGACGAGTCGTCCGTTGCTTTGATATATATCTTCTTGGCTTGTCGCTTATAGCTTTAACTAACTCATTTCAGGCGAGTCGCTCATTGTTTGAAAAGCATATTTCTAGGCAAGTTTCTATAATAGAAATCAGTGGTTATTTTGATAAAATAATTATAATAGGTTACCTTCGACCATAGTTTGCAAAGAACAACATCTTATTTATGGTAACGCATATATCTAAAATACTTTCTCTTTTTAAGTTAAATTTTTTCGACTTGTATGATATTTTGTAAATGTAGAAAACGTAGCAAAGTGATGTGAGAAGGTTAATTAAGTCATTTTAGTATACTTTTTGCAGTAAAATTGTACAGTATAAAAAACCGAGAGCTGTAAAAGGGATATAATTGTGTTCAAAATATTCTTTTAGATTTTGAAGAATATTTTTGATCTATTTTAGAGAAAAGAAATGTAAAGCATCAAATATGGTTTGCTGTCTTTTCTATAATATCATTGATGCAAAAATAATTTCTAATATTATCATAATAAAATACCTAAAATGATTCCAATTTTCTTTAAAGCATACATATATAAAATCTAGAGACTACGACATGCAAAAGATAAGCATTTAAAAAGGTGTTTATTATTCTCTTTAACATTAAACTAAACCTTGCTAATTAGTATAGTAGCTAAATAAGGACATTGGTAAATGCGACAAAGCAAAAAACTAAATCTACACGTTTTGGTATATCGTTTTAACGAAAGAGACAAAAAGGGACGGCATTAAGGTCAAATTGTTTAATTACGAGTGTATGGCAATTTAATTGATTTGTTATGTCGATTCCGCTGAAGCGAAACATTAACACTTTAAAATTTTCAAATCTCTGTCTCAAGGTATTACAAAATAAGGAAATGTTCCAAATCTAGCAGCAAAAGATATCTCAACATACTTGCCCATACACTGCTGGGGCCGAAATTGATAAGCATTCGGCACCATTATCAAGTCAGGCCAATTTACAAATCCAACCAGTTTGTACAGAGTCTGTACTGTTGGCAGCTCAGTTGTATTTTGCTATTGATTTCAATAAATGATATATATTTTGAAAATTTACAGAAGGGCGAACCATCACGCAGAAATGAAGCAGTATTAGGGAGCAAAATCCTCACACCATCTTTGTTAGGGCCATTTCCATTGTTTGACGATTAAGATACATTTCTCTCCTTAATTTTGTAATATATATGTTTTTTAGTCTAGTATATCAAAGAAATGTTTGTAATAATGGGACACGTTTGATTGTTTATCTATTTGCCAGTATGCCAGTTGACATTTTCCCAGTGACCATAAATGATATTATAGATGCTCACAACCGCATTCGTCCACATATCCACCGCACGCCTGTACTAACTTCAGAGACTTTTGACCGAGAATATGGGGCGGGAAGAAAGTTTTATTTCAAAGCGGAAAACCTACAGAAGACTGGTAGTTTTAAAGTTAGAGGAGCCCTGAATGCTGTACGTTTCATTTTATTTATTCATTTTATGTATAAATTTCAAGACAATCCAACAACAGTAAATGTCAGTTTTACTGAGTCGGTTAGTCCTTATATTATAACTGTATAGTTGGATGAATCCATTTTAAACTCCATATGACAAAACGAGATTTAAATAGAAATTCAAAATTGTACTTCTGTATAGTTTATTGCATAATAAACTTCGGTACTCTTTTATCACATGTATATCAGTATCAAAACAATGTAATTTATGTATTCTTTATTGTAAACGGCTAACATTTAGAATATAAAAGTGAAGATCAACTAAGGAAAGCGACGTCCGCGGAAACCAGCTACCACAAAAAATAGAATGATTTCAAGCGATGTTTCTACGTTTCAAGCTCACAGAGCCGTGAGACGATACATTACAGTTTTGTGAGTCGATACAACGTTTTGACCAAGAGTAAAAGGTTGTGTGATGATTCCACTTTTAAAGCGTTCAGAGTTGTATGACAAAGTCCAGGTTCCATTTTCTTAACAACATCTTCATTTGAAGACAATCAATACAATGCACATTTTTTAACAATTTAAGAGGTCGTTGTTTGTCTATGTGCGGTCTTTAGAGGGTTTATTGGTCTTTGGTCCGATCTTTTTTCTTATTGACATTAAGAATTACATGTATGGTAATCAATTTTGTCCCTCCTAGCTGATCCAGAGTTCATGTGGAATTAGCAGTCCGTCAATTTGTTGCTTTTAGCTGTATTATTTGCTAAACAAAATATTATTTTTTTTATAACATCTTAACTATAAGATAACCAACACAAAACAATTTTTAAACAATTCATGAGGTTTGTATTGTTTTTTTTTGCGGTCTCTGCAGTATCTAGTACGACCGGTTTTGTGATTTAACATTTTGTTCACTATGCTATGTAGTTTATCGTCTATGGTTATGTCCATTCCATCTTCTTCCTTTTTATATCACAATCCCCATTTTTTAAATTCCTTGTCCAACCCAAGTTCTTGTATTACCTTTTCAAACCATTTTAATCACGTCGTTCAGGAATTAATGGATTTCCTGATCATAATCATTGATTGACAGGCCAGTTCAATGTCCCACCCTTTATGTCCTTTTCCTCTTTTTTTGCTCGTTGCGATGCCTCTGTGCGGCTGAATTTGTTGAAATCTGTGTTCTATGAACGTCGCTCTGCCTTTTTTGATCTTTGCTTTCATATTATAACGACTGACTTCAGGGTTAATTTGTCAATGTTCGATCTCAGTATGATATTATTTGCTTTTTAGATATTTAAGTTAGAGGGATCAAAGGACCATATTAAGGGCGTGGTAAGTCAAGTGCATATTGCGTTGTATGTTTTTAGGTAAAGGTAAATAGAGTTACGCCAATTTTCTTAGTAAATTCGAAATTTGACCTGTCATTTCAACAATTAACTGAAACTATGTATTAATTTAATTACTAAGTAAACCTTTTTATTTACATTTCTTTTGCCATGAGAGTAACATCATTGTTTTATTCATATTAATATAATTATAGAGATGATATTCAATTTTTCTTTTTCTATTTCTATTCATACGGAATTTATTTTCATCGAGTGGTATGGAAATAAATATGATAATTTTCCCACCACCAGTTAAGATAAAAGTCCCATGTTTATAGATAAAAGATCACTTTATATCATGCTAAACAACTCTCATCATTCATCTATCAGTTTAAAAGAAAGTAATCCGGTATTATACCAGTAAAATTCCATAAAATATGTTTCACTGCAGCGAAAATTAATTTTGTTACTGGGAAAATACGGAATATAAAATCCATCAATATTTTACATTGAATTTTATGATATGAGAATATAATAAAATATACCGTTTTGTTAAGCAATTTTTTACCTTTAATCATTATAGACTACGGATAGTAGTGGTAATCATGGCCTAGCATTAGCATGGGTGGCAAAAATGCGGGGACTAAAGTGCACTATAGTTACACCAAAGGATACACCAGTCGTAAAAATACGTGCGATTAAAAGTTACGGAGCAGATGTCATCCTGTGCGAACCGACGCTAACTTCGAGGTTTCCTGGGATATTTTTCTTAATATTATTGGTGCATTATATTTATCAAATGTTATAAAAAGACATTAAAGATAAACATATATAAGATGCATTTGTTCTGAAAATATTTAAAAAAAAGATAAGACAGGTGAATAAGCATGATAATATTTACATTATTGAAAAAAAACTTTTATTTTATATAAGTAACCTGTTGATGTATTTTTCTAATATATATATAAATACGTTAATGTATGTAATTTTTGGACAATTTATGTACCATGTATAATACAGGGAAGAAACTTCCAAGCGCTTTGCGGAAGAGAATAACTACGAAATCATTCCATCAGCAGACCATTATGACATCATTGCAGGACAGGTGAGTGATGAATAGTTAAAGATATAAGATGCTCATCCTTTAGTTAAAAAGATATAAGATGCTCATCCTTTAGTAAAATATTTCAATCGCGAAACAAAATAATTAAAATCTATGAAATTTTTACTGAATATGTCTAATTCAATAAAAGAATGAATAAACTATATCTGGGAAGCTGCATTCCCTGTATCAGGTCAAGTAAAGTCGGTCGTTTTCCTTAAAAAAAGGCTAGCTTTTTAATGACATATTCACATTGTGACCGACTATAGTGTGTAGAATTTAAAACATAGCATATTTACTTTGTATGAAGTAGAAAAAACAGGTTGTTTTATTTACAAAGAGACTGTGTAGCAGTTATCAATATTTTCCAATATAAAATTTGAGCATAGCATATTTTGTATTATAGGGTACCTCAAAGATCATTCAACAAAATTGAATATGAAATACATAAGAACGGTTATTTGCGAAAGACAAATGGGGACCTTTCAATTTCATGAATTCCCGATTTCATTTTCGTGAATTCACAATCTTTACACCGTGAATTCTCGATTGCAACTTAGCGATTTCACGATTACATCTTCAAGAATTCACGACAACTTCATGAATTTAAGTTTTGAACTTCAAGATTTTAACTTCGTTATGAAGTTGAAATTATGAACTTCAACACATGAATTAATGACGACTAAAACATGAGTTCACGGAGTTTAACTTGTGAAGTTGAAATCGTGAATTCTTGAAATCGTGATTTCATGAAGTTGAAATCGTGAATTAAAGGGAGACACAGGCACAATTTCCATTTCTTCGTTTTGATTTTTTTCATTCATTAATTGTCAATGTCCTCAAAATAAATAAACTAGGCAGTCATAGGAACAAAACTGTTCTCCTTATAAAGAATAAAACGCTGGTTTTCTAACTTGACCTGCGTAGGTCAGGTTAGAGCGTTAAGATATCAATGAACTATGGAAACGTTAAAGAACATATCAAATGAGTGACTTAGACTTGTTTCAATCTTTCAATATCCACAAAATCTGTTATTGTAACTTTCAGATTTTGTTCAAATCACATGGCTTGTTTTAAAGCTATTCAGTGATTCTGTCGGCGTCTAAATTTCGTTTAATACATCTAGGTATATTTACGCTTCAAACCCTAAATAAATAGAATTTAACCAGAATTTCATGCTGGTATTTTAGAAAATGTCATTTTAGCATGATTTGAGTACCTTAAATCATTTTGATATTTTTGTCATTTTTTTACCTGAGTATCCCTTTAATGTATTTGTATGTTTAAAACGTTAATTCACAATGAAGTCGAAAGGTCTCCATCTAATTACTCTCATTTTTTTTTACACAAAAGTCCAATGTGTAAATCAGTGACATCCTTCTTAACTAAACATACTGTTTTCATTTTATTTACTGAAGAACCGCACGTTACCTACGGTGACACAGAAGTGACACGTGGACTCCCTCATTAATTTCGTGACCACGAGATAGTATGTCGTTTCCTCGACATAATCATTTCGTTCCCAAGAGATATATTTTAGTTCAGACGACCTAACTATGACGTGGCTACGAAATATAGTAATAAAATGTCACTAACGTGTTACCGTTGTAACTGTGTGCTTAATACGTTTTGAAAATCTTTCCTTACTCTATCTTCTTATATGCCTTATAATGTATATCTTGGACGAGTTTTTAAAGTTAACATTATATTACAATGAATGCAATATTCTTTTTATCACCAGATCCTGATCCTTCAGTTTTTTTTTTAAATTTGGAAGTAAACCTTCTTACAAAGAAACTGGTTTTTATTTTATTATTTTGAACTAAATCTTTTTATAAAGAAACAGGTTTTTATTTTATAATTTGGAACTAAATCTTCTTATAGAGAAACAGGTTTTTATTTTATTATTTGGAACTAAATCTTTTTACAAAGAAAGCTTTTATATTTCAGGGGAGTATCGCATTAGAGTTTTTAGAAGACGTTCCTAACCTTGATGCTATTCTCATACCGGCTAGTAAAGGTGGCATGACAGCTGGCATCACGATTGCAGCTAAGGCTATTAAACCAAACATTAAAAGTAATCATCATCATTATCGTCATCATCACCAGTAACAACAACCACACCAGGCAACATAATTTCTACAAAAACGATCTTCATTTTTATCAATATCAAATTAGCAGTGAAGAAGTATTTTATTTCGATGAATTAAACTTTTAATGCCTGTATCAAATGCAGTATGACAGCTATTTCACTATTTAACATTCACGGTGCCTATACCAGATTTGCATAATTCGATAAAAAAAGTCGGTCTTATTAAGATTTTCTTGATAATCATCCTGAAAACAATTAATCTGAAATAATCTACTCAACACAGTTTTCAACCTCCCACGTTTTGATGTGTTAAACCCCCTCTTCATCAAGGAGTTATCCCATTATATTCGTATTCGTTTGAGGTTGAAAACTTTGTGGAGTAGATAATTATAGACTTGCTTTAAATTACATTGAATCAATTGCTTTCTTAAAATTGCATTGAAATAATGGGATAAATTGAACAGCCTGCTCATTCAAGTCAATAAGCTATACTTAAAGTGACATTATGCTCATTTTTGGTTGTTCGTTGAGCGGAATTAGCGATGTAAATAAAAAGGTTGACTTTTTCAATGGTGATTGACCAATAATTGATATTGAAAAATATATAAAAATGATGGCTTATGTGTAAAAAGACTGCCCCAATCTTTTATCATTTGAAATTAACTGATACAAAACAAATAGAAATGTCAATGTGTCAAGCTTACTATTGATAACTTTTGTGAAGCAAAATATCTTATTGAACATAATTATGGCAACATGCAAAATAACTTTTATTTTTATCTGTGATCTGTGTTCTTACTATTTACAATCTGCTGGGCATAATGTCACTTTTAAATGTTTTTTTTTTTTTTTTTTTTGGGGGGGGGGGGGGTAAAAAAACAATATTTTTTCCACGAAGTGAGACTACGTGTTTGGACAATCAGAAGTTCACGCTCACCAAAATCTATATCATTTATGAATTACTCACTTGAATAAGCGGCCTCTACACTTTATACCTCAAAAATGATGAACTTTAAAAAAAATAACATTATAAGAAAATAAATACTTGACCGATTTGACTATTGGTTTTCTGCTACCTCACCCCACATCACAAAGTGTCACGTGGTACAGGCACCGTGATGTTGTCTTACCTCATCTCTGTAATGTTATATTTATGTTTGCAATTTTGAATTCTTAGATGTTATTTTTATTTCTTTCTAGGGTTTTAAAAACTAACTTCTTATAATAAACACCTTTACACGTACCGATCACAGCAGTAGTATACTGAAATATTGTATTTAGAAGCTTATAATTCTTATCCCCGTAATAAACTATTTCATGCCTAATGTCAATTAAATTTCTTTAACAGTTTTCGTTGTCGAACCAGATGGGAAAGAACTCGAAAAATGTTTGAGAGCAGGTGATACACTAAGAATATTTCATAACATATAGCAAAGACGTCACTTTCTTTCTCTGTGACTTGAACAGGCTCAATCAAACCGAGCCTGCAACATTTTCAATTTTGCCGTGTTGGGCATTCTTTAGGGATTCTGTATTTATCTATTTTTTTTTAATCAAAAGTTCCTAATAAAATGAAAGACCATTGAATATTTGTCTTAAGCCAGGTTTCTTGATGGCCTTGTCATTATCTTAAAACTATAGATCAGATTCACCTAGGAATAAAAATATATTGTATCTTACACTGCACGTGCAATGACCGTAATTATTGTACAGGTGTCCGAATACATTTTTCAGTAAACTTAAATGTCCAACAAATTGACTTATTTTAAAACATAATATTATTGGAGTTGCGACCCGTAAATGTTAATATTTCTTGGTGATCTTTACCACAACGTTCAGTTTATTCAAAATAGGTATGAGGCTCTGGTCCAATCCTCCATGTTTTGTGGATACTCTTGCCGAAGGGATAAAAATACACAACGACACTTGACTGCCGAATACTGTAGGTTCCTGAAATTTTCTAACTTTGAAGCCAATCATTACTTATTTCGAAGGGTCGACGTGTGTTAAAATCGTCTTAAAGTTTGTATTTTATTCCAATGTAGAGAAAAGTATCCAGTAACCTCACGGAAGGTTACTAGAATAGTTTAAATGTTTCACTGAAATAACGGTAATGAATTCGGCGAACAGTGCGCCCCACCATTTTCATTGAGGATGGTAAAGAAAAGAAACATAGAAAAAGGACCATAATTCTGCAAAAATGCTTTAAGTGAATCCATGCACCTTAAACTGAATTTTTAAGAAAAGAGGCAACTAGTTTAACAGGAAATAATAAGGAAAAACGTCGTTGGGATTATCTAGCCCAAAACATGGTTTTCAGAATTATTTGTCCGTTAAAATATGAATATTAAATTTGATACTGAACAAGTTTTTCAAGTCTATTGTGAATATCTTATATATTTATTTATAAAATGCCAACAACCTTTTGTGTATATACAATACTACTAATAAGTAAAAGAAATCCCTACATCCAAATCGAATTGAGAGAAAGAAAGATTAAATCAACCCTTTTCATGAATTAAACTTAAAAATAAAACCGATTGGTTACTTTAATATAACAATCTAATTAATAACATTTCCTTTCAAATGAACAAAAGGTTTAATTTGAAAGTTGTGTTGCTTTGTTTCATTTTTAAATCATTTGAAACAATTTTCACAATAAAATGCAATTTGACATTAATTTCATATTTCACGTAACCTTAGAACGTTTCCTAAGGTGTTTTATGTTCTTAAATCATAAATCGTTATTTTCATTCACAGACAAATGATGATATAATCAAAGGAATGAAGTTTGCCTTTGAAAGAATGAAAGTTTGTATATTTTGTGTTTTCCTTTTTTTCTTTATAATGTTTTTACTCATTAAATTATTTTCTATCATGTGTTCGATCAGAAACAACCAACTACAAAATATTAATACAAAGCAAAATATAACGTACGTAGAAAGCTTAAAGAACGCCGAGATTTAATAACCAGGCACCTGCTACCGGAAAAGGAATTTCTGAAAGCTATTATATTAATAACGGACCTAACGAAAATAAAAACAACTGACTGTTTTTGTGCCCCCACTTTAGTGGCGGGCATTTAGATTTACCCTTGTCCGTCCGTCCGTCCTTCCGTCCGTCCGTCCTTTCGTCCTTCCTTCCGTCCGTCCGTTCTCTTTTGTGTCGCACGTTACTCAAAAAGTATTTGACCTAGTGTCATGAAACTTTACAGGAATGTTGATCAGCATGTGTGGTTGTGCACCTGGGTATTTTCGTCTGGATGTTTTTAGTATTTTTAGAGTAATTGCCCTTGACTTAGTAAAAATTTTGCAATTTTCAACTTGTGTGGCCTGTAACTCAAAAGTGATTTGACATAGAGTAATGAAACTTTACAGAAATGTTGATCACCATGTGTAGTTGTGCACCTGGGTATTTTCGTCTGGATATTTTTAGTATTTTGAGAGTTATAGCCCTTGACTAAGTAAAATTTTGCAATTTTCAACTTGTGTCGCATGTTACTCAAAAAGGATTTGACGTTGAGTCATTCAACCTTATGGGAAGGTTGCTCAGCATATTTAGTTTTGCACCTGGGGTTTCGCTTGTGGATTTATCCAGTTTTTGTAGAGGTATTTCCCTTGACTTAGTAAAAACCGTTTCATTGAGTCATCAGATGGACACATTTCTAGTTTTTGTATTCTTTTTATTCTAAAAGTTACTTATTTGCGACAACAAGTTTTATTCGCTCTGAAGTACTAAATCACTAAAAATGCACTTATTGGCAACACACAAAAGAAGAAAATGATGTATAAGCTATATCGCTAATGTTTAACTTTTTGAAAACTTACATGACACCAAAATTAAAATTATTTTGAAAAAAAATAAAATATTACCATTTCTTAGACCTAATGTACCTTTTAAAAGATCAATCAACTTTAAGTCTTGCTTTCTAAAAGTTATCAGTTCCGTTTTTACACGAGGACAATTTGTCGTGACTTGAGAAGCCTCAGACCAAATATCATTTTCTGCATGAACTTAAGGCCACCACGTCCAATGTGCTACATGCCAGTGACCCATGCTCATTCAAATATATCTTTTGTTTTGCATTGCTGTGTTATGATTAAATGTTTCCAAGTTTTTGTTTGTGAGTATGAAAGGATTCATGCCATTTTTTTTACTTTCAGGTTGTTATTGAAGGCGCATCAGGTGCCGCGATTGCTGCTGCTATGTCAACGAGGCTCCGGGAAATGAGTTCAGATCTGAAGAATGTCGGTGTGATACTCTGTGGAGGAAATGTTGATCTCAATAACTTACCTTGGTAAAACATGCCCTAAAACAGTGAACATGTCCCTTGCAAAATGAAAAAATATGACCCAATAAAGATACCGTCTGGACAACACTGAACACAATTTAGATTAGAGAACTACAATATACATTCCATTGTGTAAGCCAAAATGTATCAAGATTCTCCAAATACAACATTATTCAGTGTAAACAAGAATTTTTAAACACGTACTTCTTTTATTGCGTTTTTGTCTATAGAGAATATTTCTCGATTCAGATGTCATTATTTGTAAATGTAATGAAAAGTTAAACCAAAATGACACTATACTTAAAACTAAATTGCAGTGTTTTTTTTTATAAACATGTCGTCAAGAACAATTTACGCCATTATTAATTCGTAATACAGGTTGCTGATTTCTTTTGAACAATTTGTAATAGTTATAGTATATGAAAGGTGTTAGTTAAAAATGTATAAAATTTAGACTCTTGTAACTATAATAATGTCATTATTTGTTCTTGACCAGTTGATGGCAACTTGTATAATTTTCATACTATTTTGTCGATATTTAAAAGCATATAATTTAAACCTTCTTTTCAAATGAACCTCAATTGTCAACACGAATTTCTAAAAGAAAAGTCACTGTACTAATGCACTCCCAGAAGTTTTAATACTAACATGTAGTTTTTGTCACGTTTCTCATTAAACATATATTTCAATTTGAACAATATGCAAATGAGCTGGTTGTTGTGAAATATATTCCTACGCCATTATGCGTTCACAGATGTTAGGTTTTAAAGGAACTCCACCGATGTCAAAAACTTAAAAAAACAACTGAAACTTGAAATTTTTCCAAACCTCAAATAAAACACTTAAAATTGATAGATTTGCAAAGGATGATAATTATTATAAACACAGAATTATTTGAATATCGATATTTTTGCGTGATTCTTAACCTGATATGTGTAAAAAGCGTTGCAATACTTTTCATTTTTGGGTCAGTTTGCACAATAAAAACAAATCTGGTAAAACAAAGCAGACTGAAGAAATGATCACAAATTACGGGTCAAGGTTTACATCTAATAGTATAAAATATTTCCAGTCCCTTCATGTCAGAACACCTCAGTGGGATTCCCGTCAATGTATCATTTTTGCTTACAAAATAAACTATTATTACATATTGCAAAATAGTAAAACGAACTTTCTATGCTTGAAAATAATAATTTCGTGAGAAACATGCTTATTTTGATGAAATATTTGTTGCATATTAAGAAGTTAAGTAATCTCACTTATTTATACAACAACATTGTATTAAAAATTGGATAGTCTATTATCTATGCATACAAGTTTAACAAAAGGATGGACAATCTCAGAGTTCGTGAGACTGATTTGAAAGTATATACACAAACAGACAGATATAATTTTTGTTATTTGTTACTTATTTTATTCATTCCTTGTTGCATTATAGGGTTTACATTTTGTAAAAATCCCAGAGTTAATAAATTGTTCTTATATAGTATCGTTTATCGTTTTATTCCCCATGTACATAAAATGGAAATAATAATAATAAAAAAAAAAACAATTGCAGGGTTGTTTGATATTTTATTTAGTCTCCGATCTTTTATAACGTACGTCTGTGCGCCCTTATTTGATTTTATTTCATACTTGCGTAAAGAAAAAATGTAGCACAAGCAGCGTTTATAAACCGATTTATTTTGTAGATATTTTACAAGGCAAGGAATGCAATATGTGCTCGGTATATCCAAGCAGACATGGCACAGTCATTTCTGTACAAAAAAGGTCGATGGACGAGATAGCATTGTTTTTAAATGAATTGGCTCAATTAATCTTTGCCGTTTTAAGGGGCTCCGTTTCAATTCTAGTTCGCAGGAATGTGTATTGTTTTAAACATTTAAGACATTGTGTACATCTGTCTTTGTTCATGTATGTATATTCTTTATTTATTTTTTATGTGACTGATTTTTAGAAAGGTTTAATACGTGACTGTACAAAAAAAGAACAACTCTTTTGAGCGTGTCAACAGTTTATATGAATATTTATGTAACATTCTCGGTAAGTTTTACAGGAAAAGCAATAGGGGCGGGGTTGTGGGTCACTGACGTGGCAAATGTTTTCTGTAACACATTTTTGGTTTGTGTATTTTGGTTTTCGTGAATACCGATCTATCAACACATTCACAAGGTAGTTAGCAAACTGATAGCACCCATTACCGAAAACACCGCAATACAAAGTAGTTGTCTAGAACACATGTTTTACAATGAAATAGCTTTTGGAATAAACTGAATGTATTAGTAATGAAAACTTTTTAAGTAACTTTAATAATGATAGCACTAAACACGCACACAGGCAAGAAACTGTGCTGTTCTATATTTTAACCATATCGACCAAGGGAAATCAATTCATCAAATTTATGTTTAGGTAATGTAATTACAGAAATGTAATGAAATAAACCCATTTGAAACAATGGAAATTGGATATAGGTCTACGTTGATTTGCAAATCAATTACCGTTTAAGTAAGGCTAAATATCACACGGCTGGATTTTCAACGATTACGATATCTTATTGTAGGGATCTTTTAACTGTTACATAGCCATATTGTTAAGAAAGACTGCTAGCGGATAGTGGACGATTTTCTCGGACAAATTTA